GCTCTTGCTTCTGCTGCCCGGCCGCTGCCGCTTTGACGCCGGCAACAGCTGCATCGCTGGGGGCCGCCGCCGCGCCCGCTGCGGGCTTACATGCCGCTTCTCATGGGCTGCTGCTGCTGCGCTTCTGCCCTCACTGTTGCCCGGAAGCAGCTGCTGCAGCTGAGGACGTGGGCTCAGGCCAAACTCGGTCACAAACAAGGCCTCCAAGTGACTGTGATCCTCAAAGCAGAACAGCGCTGCCCCCTCATCTTCCAGATCCAAGGCTGGCACCCAGCTGTACCTCTCTGAGGGAAGCGCCACATCAGCAATGGCTAGTGCGCCGGCGCCGGAGGCAGCGACATCCAAGACGGCATTGGCTGGGGCCGCCACAAATGGCAACTGCTGCTGCTGCTGCTGCTGCTGCTGCTGCTGTTCGTGCTCGGAGGTGAGCACCAGGTCGCCGACCGCCCCCCAGCATGCGGCCGCACCTTCCAGCGAGTAGGGAAGTGCAGCTGCATCGCAAGGCACAGTCCCTGCTCCCATGACGGCTGTGCAGCCTGGATGGCTGCCACTCAGCTGCACCTGATCAAAATAATGCCCAGCGGAGCCGGTGGTTGCGGGCATGGGCACCCCTAGCTCGGACATCCCTGATGCTGCACCGCCACTGACGCTGCTGCTCCTGCTCCTCAGCGTCTCGATTGCGGTCCCACTGCTGCCGCTCCTGGTGCTGCTGGTCGTGCCGCCGCCGTTCACGCCAGTGCCCCACTGCCCGTGGCTGCCACACTCCGATTCTGGCGTCGCAGGCACACCCATGACCCCGTGTGGGAGCAGACCGACCTGCAGTCATCAAGATATGATTTTGAGGACGCGCAGCTTGCTGCACAGTTGACTGCAAGACAAATCATCCACCGGACTGCCTCAGACCTGTGTGCTGGCGGTCGTTGATGCGCCAGCAGCACGCACACAGCTTACACATGTGAGTCTGCCAGAGCTCTCACCTGTGCACCGTGAATTCTCATCATGTCACGACGTGCTGCTTCATGGCTCCGGTAGCCGCAGGTGCTGCCGCCGCCAAGCTCGGCGCCTGCACCACTGCGTCCTCCCAGCCCGCTGCCGGCGCACTTGTCACCGGCTGCCCCAGGTGAATCCAGGTCTGGCCGGTGAATGAAGGCGTCCATCAATCCTATAACTTCCTCCACCATATCCTCCTCATACATCGCCGCAGCTGCATGCAGGTGTGTGGGGCGGGGCGGGGCGGGGCGGGGATCGTCTTGGCGATTGTGGCCAAACAGCCCGTTTGTGAGGGTGCTCACACCTGGCAGCGGTTTGCCCACGAGCGCGGCACACGAGATAGAGGCGTTTGATACTGCAGGTAACACGCTGATTCATCTGCCATGGTTTGGACCCGGGCGTACGGTGCGTTGCGGCAACGCGCACCGAGCGGGAGGTCGGGTTCCATGTTGCGGCCTGCAGCGCGTAGCCGCACGGGTGACGCGGGGCACAAGGACTCAATATGATGTGCTGTGAAATAATGTTTCGATGTCTCACAGTAAATCGCCCGCGAATAGCACTGCATCTAGACCGGGACATGACATGTACAACATTAATCATAGGCCGTTTTGATCTGCGTTCCAATTGTTTTTCACTGATACGCAAATTACAGTTGCTCTGGCAGCCTGCTTGGGAGGGGGTGATCAGTGCATAATCGCGCCAGACATGAAAAGCTCGCGAGCGCGTCTCACGTGGCAGCAAAGGATTTTAGTAAAGCATTTGATGACGTTGGAGCTGAATAGAAGCTTGTGGACTGGCCTTCCGAGTCGGCGATGGGTCTCGGGCCGATTTGGTGTTGTCTGCGTGTCGATAGAGGCTGCACGAACTAGGTCGATCTGCAACAACAGAAAAACGGACACTGCACCGGAGCGGCCAAGGGTATGGGAGCATGGTAGCGGCACCCAGGTTCGACCGCACTCGCTCGAGTGTGAAGTGCACGTGTGAAGGGTGCAGGCGCCCGGGACCCAGGTACGAGGAGCCGCCTTTGGCTGCAATAGGCCCCTGGCTTCATACGGTATCCTCTAGATCTCGTCACCTCCGTCACAATACGATGTGGATATCACAAGAGCCGTGGTCGGCATGGGCGAAACTCTAGACTTCTCGAGACAGGGTTTGTGCATCCAGGGGAGCGGGGTGGTGGCATGGAAAGGACCACATGTGTGCGCGCTGCGTTGAATGAGGGGAAAAAGGATGCATACATTGAGCGCAGGGGGTGCCGGGTCGGAAAGCGGCAGGGGTGGGCTTCTGTCACTAGTGGAGGCCACATAGCACATCTGTGTGAGCAGGGCAGCAGGCTGCGCCCAGGCCAGGGTAGTTGCTCCCATAAACATACATGATTGTGGCCTCATCATACAGTCGTGTCGCAACACGCAGCAACACAGGGCTGATGATGTTGTTGTGCACCAGTGTACCTATAAACGACACGTGCCCCCAGCGGAGAGCGCAGAACTGCTGCAGCTATCACAGGCGTGCAGGACACATGGCTCTGGCACAAGCTCAGGATGATACACTCTCTGCCACAGACAGACCATTCAAGTGGCCGGCACTCCAAAGTCACACAATCAGTCAGTCGGGCACAGACCGCCGGCGGTCGTCCCTTCGCCGACCAAGCAAACGCGCAATGTTCATCACCGTCGCACCACACAAAATTCAACTCACAATTGACGAACTGCGATCAAAATTCGCGGTCTTTGCCAGAGAGATCCAGATTGTCAGTGCCTCGGGTTCGTGTGCAAGCAGTGTTCTCCTTGTATTCCAAGCCGGGGGCAACAGCTATGCTCGGAGCCCCTGCCGTTTCGGCACAGGCTGCCAATGAGCACACCGCACGGCTGGCAGCGTCGCCATCAGCGCCGCGCCGGGGCGCCGCGTCCTCACGCCCATGCCCTCGCGCGCCGCGGCGACCCCGGCTGACCCTTGCGAGGGCAGCCGGGCCCCTGGATGGCGCCGCGGCCACGCAGCTGCGGCAGGCTGGGCCGGGAACGCCTGCGCCCAGCTACGCAGAAATCGACGCCCAGCCGCTCAACCGCGTCGTGATGGCGCTGTTTCGTCGCAAGATGGTGGAGTCCATCGGCAGCGACTCGCAGCTGCAAGGGTAAGCAGCGCGGGACGGAAATGTTTGTACAAGGTTTCGTCTTCCATCAGGTTTCAAGGCGTGGATGGGGCCCGTGTTGCACCCGGCAGCCACAACGGCCCACAAGCCGACGACGCCACGGGAGCTGCAGGGGGTGCCGACCCCACCCCGACCGGGCCCCCTCCCCTGCCGCCCTCGCAGCTACCCCGCCATCATCGACCTCACGCGGCGCCTCAACCGCCAGTACCAGACCGCGCGCGACACGCAGCTCGCGACGCGCCGCATCCTGAACAGCCTGTTCCCCTCGTGGCTGCCGGGCGCCTTCAAGGTCATGTTCTCGGCGCCGCTGCCGGCCTTCTCGTGCCGCCTCAACGCGCTGGCCACGGCGCTGACGTGCCAGTGGCTGATGGGGCCGTGCAAAGTCAACGACGTCGAACTCGACAGCGGCGAGGTGCGCCGCGCGGTCGCGTGCAGCGCGCGCCCTGGGCGCGGAGAGCTGCCTTGCCTGGCGTCCCCACGCATGCTGTGAGAGCGTTGAGCGGGTCACGGGTGGTGCTGCCGGCGAGCTCACTTTTGGCGTGCGGGCGGGCTGGGGCTGACGGCCTGCGGCGGCCCCGCGTGCTGGTGCAGGTGGGCAGCGGCATGGGCGTGCTGGTGGAGCGCTGTCGATACCTGGAAGAGGCGGGCTGCGCGTCCATCTGCATCAACAGCTGCAAGGTCCCGACGCAGGTGCGGGGGCCCCCGTGCGCGGCCAGGCGCGCGGCCTTGGGAGGAGCGCCACAGTTGAGCGACACACGGGACCATGGCCGCCCCTTTCTTGGTGTACAGCCTGGCGAGGCAGCCATTGCACACAAAGATTTTTGCTGGGGATGTCAGCAGATTGAGGACTTGGCCAGGTTTGACAAATGGAAAATGAGTGCCCTTCTCATAACAGGCTCGCCCCTTTTCCACAAGCAGGAGTTTTTTGAGAAGGACATGGGCCTTCCCCTGACAATGACCCCAAACTACGAGGACTTTTCCTGCCAGTGAGCACGGCTGCTGCTTTGCGTGCTTGCCGACTTGCGGGTGGGCATGCGCTATGCCTCTGTCACGCCGCCATCAGACACAGCGCAGTGCACCGCCACAGCGGCGCTCGGACGCCCTGACGCCTTGTCGCCGCGGCTCCCGGACAACTTGCATGCACTCGCGCAACACTGCGCAGGTTTGCTTTCGGCAAGACGCCGCTGCCGCAGTCGCAGGACGAGGCGTTCTCAACGCCCTGCTTCACGCAGTGCCCCTCCAAAAAGCGGACGTTCTCAGACGGCGGCGCCGGCAGACCAGGAGACTGCCCCAACGTGGCAGTGCGCTGATGCGCGTGCTGCTGTGTAAGCGCAGGCGACTCAGGCTATTTTGTTCTAAAGGGGAGGTTGTGCGCACATGGTCCCCCTGAGCATGTCGGGAGGTGGGGACCGCAGGTGTGCGAGTGCGAGCATTTGCACATGCATGTGTGCCTGGATTGTGCATGTGCAGGTTCCAGTGCACATACACGCACCGCAATCAAAAGCTGCCAGCAAACCCGCAAGAACCCCTTTTCGCGCTAATCGGTCAGGATTCCCCCCTCGGCATGCATCAGGCACCTCTCAGGATGCAGGCGGTACGCCTGCTTTGCCACCCCGTGTGTCACTCTGTGCTGCGCGGGTATCATATGCATTGAAAAACATACAGATTGTCAACTGCGTTCCTCACACAAAGCAGAGGTCGTAGCTGCCCCTGGCGGCGCAAAGCAGTCGCTGCCGCAGTACTGATTCTTGAGGCTTACGGACGCTCCAGACCGCCATAACTCACATATTACGGTATTTTTCGTGCCCTTGCAGCAACCATGTCGACGCCCTTTGCCACAAACGACCCCCAGGCCGGCGAGCAGGGCCCGACCAAGGAGGTGACATTCGCGGAGTCCGCTGGACAGGTGGAGCAGCAGCAAAATAGTGGCATAAAAAGGGAGCAATCCGGATTCAATCTCGTGGCGAGCCCCAGGTGCGCACGCCACCCGTTGGCCTTGAGCACGGGGCCCTCGTTCATTGTGACGGTTGCAGCTCGGGTGACAATGAATCAGCATTTTGCATATAATCTCTGAGGCCGGGACATGTGGTGCAGCGTGGATTTGGAGGGTCCCGCGCAAGGGAGCACGTTAGTTGCTGTTGCTGCATGGTCAATGATGCGGCATGGGTGGGCACCGTCGCATATGAGCAAGCAAGTCCAGCACTAACCGCTTGATTTTGCTCGTACGCAAACCATATGCGATACCAGCAAGTCTGCTGTGACGCACGCAAACACGATGTGTGTTGCCCTGCTGCACGATGTGTGTCGCACATACTGTACAGCGGCGCCAACCTGTTTGTAGAGGCGGCCAAGGAGTACGACCCGCTGGAGCATCACCGCCCGGTGAGCCCCACGCCACAGAATCACACACATGTGCAACATGAGGCGGCCCCGATGCTTTGGGGCAGCAACGGAAGAGCCGCATCCCGAAGCGATGCGCAAGGATGAGACGCGGCGTGCGTGGCGGCGCTCGCTGCCGCTGCACGGCGTGCATTGCAGCAGCAGCAGCAGCGCCCTTGGCGTAGATTAGTCTGGCTGGCAGCCGGCCACTGCACGGATCTGGAGCCCTCCGAGTGTGGTCTGACAATTGCTCCGCTGCGTTTGCCCTCGTCCGTCCCCCTCTTGCCAAATCCCGCACTGTCAACCCCCACAATTCTCTGGCTGCAGCGCAACAAGGAGGCCAACAAGGGCGAGGGCCTGGGCTTCATGTTCTCCTGCTTCACCTGCTGCGGCGCCCCGGCTGTCAAGGAGTCCGCGGCCACTGCGGAGCGTCACGTGAGCCGATGCGTGGGCACGGCTGCCGATGTTGCCTCCGCTCCTCCTGCTGCATCTGCTGCTTGGTGCTGGCATCCGTGCAGACATGCAGCCAGCGACGCAGGGTGAAGCATACCCTGTCGCACACAACCCTGGCTTGTTGCCCCGCTGGCCACCCTGACTCCTGCATTTTGTCTCGGCTGCATGTTCCCCTAACCGCAGTACAGCCTTCCTCCCTCGGCGAGCGCGGCGGACCTGGGCAACAAGACTCAGTGATGCACCGGATTCAAACATCTGATCCCATGTCTGGATGGCTGCCGGGAAGCGAACCCCCCTCATTCCTGAGCCCAAGTGCGTTGCAATGCATGTACCAAAAATGGGCCACCAATTCTCGGTTGCAGCATCCAACCAGCTGTGAGCATGCTGCCATGCCCGTGAGCGTATGACCCCAACCTTGTGAACGCAGTGAGGGAGACAAAAGAGGGGCGTTGCGTGCGTCCACTTTCACACAAACCGTGTGCATACATTGAGTTTGGGCTGCGGTGCTGCGGACTCCATAGAAACTACGTGTGCGTAACCACAGGCACAGCCTCGTTCTGTGAGGTCGTGGCTGCCGTGTCCGCTCAGTAGCGTGTAACTGCCACAGCTGTGTCATCCACCTTGGCTGTTTACCATATCAGCCACGAATTTCTCATGGCACTACAGCTCATGGGGAGGTGGCAGCGCAGAAGTCGCACGCCATGAGGGCGTTATGCACATCTCACCAGCTGAAAAGCTGTAGTCGAGACGCAAAGGCAGCAGCGTTGTGCGGCCAGCAGACCAAGATGACTGTGTTGCCCCTGGCGTGCGCTGCACAATACGCAGTGGCGTTCCCGGGAACCAGGTGACCGCCAGCGTCAATTTACTCTTAGCAAAAGGTGCCTGCAGCAGCTGGCACACACGACCACCGTGGCTTGGTGCCGCCCGATACTCAAGAAGATGGCTGAGTGAGCAGATCGCATGTGTCCAGGTCACCTGCCGCCGAATCAGGAGCAGGTGCACACCGGTATGCCTTCGAATCAAGGAACAGGTACGGCGGGGATACCCCAATCGCTTTGAGCACACTGCTGCTTGTCACATCTGCGCGGTGTCTACGGTGGTGAGCTGGTGACAGTCTCCTGACCAATCGAGGCGCCCCACGTTGATTGAACCCTCGTCAATGCATGATTTCTACGACGGGATTTTGTCTTTAGCTATTGTCTAAAGTGGGATATCCGGTGTTCAAGTGCCCATCACTGCTGAGATCAACTCCACGCACGGCGAGCCGATGATTTCGAAGGCAGGATTGGCTGGTGAGACGCGCATGACTGCACCTACAGACTTTCATAACTCAGTTGATTGCTCGCAGGCGCAGGGTGCATACCAAGCGCACATGGGCAGACAGGCGACAGGGCACTACTGGCACATGTGCCTGAATGCCACCGCAATTCGCTCACGGGTGCATAATGCGAGCGTGCCAGGACCACTGATTTTGCCAATGCTGGCTGCTCAATACCCATAACACCAGCGCTTCTGCTCATGCTGCTGGTTGGCGGCGCGGCGAGTCATGCTCCTGATGCGCACCAGCAGCACCGCCACCGCCTGATGCTGTCCGTGACTGGCGCATCTGCCAGCAATGCTACTCAAGCTGTCGACCCTGCAAAGTTGAAAGCAGCTATTGCTAGGTTCAAAAAGCTGGTCGCGAGCCCGAGCCCGTGCGTCAAGGGGCGCAGCAGCCTCTGCTAGCACCACCAGCGCCACCAGCTTCGAGCACCTGATTGAGGTTTGTGAGAGTGGGCAACCATTGCTTCCTAAAAAGTGCATGTTCAGGGACCCCGAGGAACCGCCTTCTGGCTGCTTACTGTCTATTTGATATGCAACCAACTCTGCCCTCCCCCCCATAACCCTTTTCCCTGTTGCTGCGATCCCCCTTCCTGGCATCGAAGTGCGCCTAGGTGTGCACACCTGTGCAGTTCAGGAGCCCGGCGCGCAGCTGCATGCATACTGCGCGGAAGGCATGTTTGAGCCTTGCCTGCTCTGGGGGATGTATGATCCTCCCAGCGTGCATCTGGCCACGATTTGGAACAGGCGACGAGGCGCACAGATTGCATGGTTCAGAGTACGCGCCCTCACATCCTGTTCCATACATTTTTAATGGCATGTAACTGCATGCAATAGAATTCCATCCAATACCAAACATTGTGCAGCTGCAGCCTCCTGTTGTTTAGTCACCCAAGGCTGCATTACATCAGGCTGCCTGCGTGGCCCCAGCACGCGCACAGCGCCCGCTGCACACTGCCACGTATTATGCACGGCAGCGTAGGTACGCTGCCCCCACCACGTGATATATCAGTTGTTGGGTGAGGCAGCGGTGGGAGATTGATCATTGCTCTGCAATGCATGGGGCCGCCGTAACGTATCAGGTGCAACGTCCAGCAGCACCATAAATGGCACATGGCAGGCCTAGGGATCTGTAGGGGCAAACAGAGCATGGGGTAATTATGGGGCGCAGGGGGGCGGCGACAGGTGCTGGGCCCTGCTGGGCAGCGGGGAGAGAAAGCGCCTGCATCTTCCACAGGAAGCTAGCTAGCGGGAGCTGGTGCCATGAATCTTGCCAAGGGTGCAAAGCGGGCGAGGGGAGGACAGGCAGCACAAGAGGATCACCTGTCGTGACTGGACGATGCAACGTGAGCCACGCTGCTAGCTGTTGGTGCACCTCAACATTCGTGGCAGCTGTGGATTCGATGCCCTCATAATGACAAAGGGCGACTCACAGGTGCCGCTACTCGATCCGTCAGAGATGGGCGGCCGCAAACAGGTAGAGTGGCTTGGGCGCACGCCATTCCGAGTAATAGGAGTGAGTACCTCAGTCTCACTCCTTTGCAGCGAAGCAGGGCCACTTAGCGCTGTTGGAGGGTAGTACTGCTGGTTGAGCAGCCCCTGGCGGAACCGAGGCGATACTTTCAAACATACTCTTCCTCTATTCAAAGACACATCCCCGATGTAGCTTGCCGGGGTGAGGGGTGAAAGCTGCGGGTTGGGCAGGGTGCCGCCTCCCCTGGGAGGGGGCTCATGTGTTCGCCCTGAAACGCCCCTGCGGGCATGCACGTGTGGCTCACGTGCAGGTGGCCGAGTCGTATGCTTGATGAACATGGGCGGAAGCCAACAGTGTGTGTGGTACATGGATACGTGAACTGTGTAGTAGCTTGTGTGCATAGCGCAAGTGCTCTACTGCATAGCGCAAGTGAGGAAGGTGGTCTGGGGAAGCCTCACTGGGGCGGGGTGTGCGAATCGGGTGGGTCGTACTGTACCGCCTTCTGCCTCCAAGCTCTTCTAACGTGAGAACAGCAGAAACTGCAGGCACCCGGAAGGTTCGGGATACGCGTCGTCAACTCACAGATGACGAGGAAGCAGCTGGCTTGAACCTGTCCATGCTCGAGCTCTGATGATCTGCAGACGCGCCCACATACTGCCAACCTTCGCATACAGTAATCGTTCATGTGGAGAGATAACAACCAGCTGATAAAGTGTTGAGCCGCTGGGAAAGAAAGTGTTGCGCTCTTGGATTCGCGGCCGCGGGTCGTCTGCCTGCTTCGCCTCGCTTGAAGTTTCCTGAGGCCATAGCCTGTACTTCTAGTTTGCTCTCGCGCCCAGGCGGGCCGCCTTCTGGGCGAAAAGTGGGCCGCGGACGCGGATCCCGAGCAGGATGGCGCACAGGCTGTTGCAGGAGAGCAACAATGAGGAGGCCACCATGCCAATAGTTTGTGAGACGTGCCTCGGGCCCAACCCCTATGTGCGGATGCAGAAGGTGCGTCCCCGCGCGTGGCGCGCCGCCGCTGCGGTGCGCCCGTGCACACCGCTGCGCCCGCGCACAGCGATTCTAGCGCCGCCGTGCCCGCAGCAGGAGTAGCAGCATCAGTATCAGTATCAGCAGCAGCAGCAGCAGCAGCAGGGGCGGCAACAGCTGCAGTACCTGCAGCAGCAACAGCAGCGGCACCAGTCGCAGCGGCGATCGTCGCACTGGGAGCGGCGGCACCAGCAATGCCCACGACAGCCGCTGCCTTGCGCCACGACCTGCTGGCGTACGAGGCTGCCGGCCCAGCACGCCCGCCACAACCATCAAGTTGACCCGCCGCCCCCACGCCCTCTCTCACAGATCCCGAATGGGGGCGCGTGCCACATCTCTGGCCGCCCTTACACTGTCTTCCGTTGGCGCCCGGGCAATGACGCGCGCTACAAGAAGACCATCATCTGCCAGGAGGTGGCCAAGGCGAAGAACGTGTGCCAGGTGCGCCCCCGCCCACCCGCCCGCCGCCGCGTCCCGCACCTGCCTGAGGCAGCATCATGGGCGGTCGACAGCCGCACGCAGCTGCCCTACTTGCCCGCGACGCGTTGCAGCAGGCGCTCAACTCCACGCGCGCCGCACCCGCCGCCCATGTTCCATCACCTTCACCCGCCCCCCGCCCCTGCGCCGTCATCAGGTGTGCCTGTTTGACCTGGATTACGGCCTGCCGGTCCAGGTGCGCGACACGGCGCTGGGCATTGAAAAGGACGAGATCCCCGAGAGCGCGGTCGGCAAGGAGTTCCAGCTCAACGAGCAGGTGCGCGGCTCCCCTTGCCCCCCTCGCCCCCCCTCGGCACCCTCGCGCGCGCGGACCCGCCCCCCCGCGTCTTTCTCTGGACCCCTTTGCAGCTACGGGCGTGCGGCGCCGGCCCCATGGCGCTGCAGGCCGCGCGCAGCTGCAGCACATGCCAACGCGGAGCGAGACAACATACAACGTAGAGAACATACACCTAACTTCAAATGACTGATGCGTGTGTGTTTCTGAATTCTGAGCTCACTTCTAAGCGCACCCTGTGACGTGCCCTTGCCCTGTTGAATACGTCTGGCCGGCTTCCAGGTCAAGGCTGGCGAGACCGACTCGGCGTTCGGCGGCGGCGGGCGTCCCAGCGAGATGCTGGAGCGCCTCGCGCGCACCACGCCCTACTACAAGCGCAACCAGGCGCGCGTGTGCTCGTTCTTCGTGCGCGGCCAGTGCACGCGCGGGGCGGAGTGCCCTTACCGACACGAGATGCCCACCAGCGGGCCGCTGAGCGAGCAGAACATCAAGGACAGGTGGGAGGGGTGGTGGGTGGTTGCAGGGTCGGGATGCTTATAACTGTGAATGTCCGTTGTGTGTGTGTATGTGTGTGTGCGCGCTCGTGTGTGTGTCGTAGGGGTGTGTGGGGCTGCGGGTGTTGGTCGGGCCGGGGGTGGGGCCGCGCGTGCGCATGTCGCGCTTGCGCAGCGGGCGAGGCCGGCTCGCAAGGCATGATGCGTGTGACCGCAGCATAGGCGGCATCGCCATCAGCTGGCTGAAGCCGCCCTGCACCCCTGGCGCCCGCGCCTGTCGATGTGACGCAGGTACTACGGCATCAACGACCCCGTGGCCGCCAAGCTGCTCAGCCGTTACGAGGAGAAGGGCAAGCTGGAGGCGCCCGCAGACACGTGAGCGCGCCGCGCACGAGGCCGCACGCTCGCCGAGGCGTTGTGGACGCTAGGCGCCCCCCGTGTGTGCCCCGGCGCTGCCTGTCTTCCCGATTCAGAGAGGACCACCAGGCCGCCCCGGAGCACACGTGACGCGCGCGCGCGGCCCCGCCGCCCCTTGCGTGCCGTCCGCGCAGGACCGTCGCGACTCTCTACGTGGGAGGTCTCACGCCAGATATCACAGAGGCTGACCTGCGGGATGCGTTCTACTCGTATGGAGAGCTGTCCTCTGTCCGGCGCGTGGAGTCGCGGTTCTGCGCGTTTGTCACGTTCACCACGCGGGCAGCTGCCGAGAAGGCGGCGGAGGAGCTGCACGGGCGGCTGATCGTCAAGGGGACGCGGCTGAAGCTGATGTGGGGCCGCCCCGCGCAGCAGCAGGCGGCGGCGCCTGGCAGCGGCGGCGGGAGCGACCCGATGCAGCCGGCGGCGGGCGGCGGCGGGGGCGCGCAGCAGCAACAGCAGCAGCAGCAGCAGCAGCAGCAGCGGGGGCCGCCGCCGGGGGCGTACGGCGGGCCGCCGGCTTACTTCGGTCTGGCGCCGATGGGGGGTGGCGCCGGGGGCGCTGTCATGTACCCTTCGATGGACCCTCATGCAGCAGGGGGGGCACGCATTCCTGGGTCGGCGGACATGAAGCGCGGCGGCGGCGGCGGCGGCGGCGGCGGCGATGGCGCGAAGCGGCCGCGCGTGGACGGCGGGCCACCGGCGGGGCCGCCGCTGGGCGGCAGCGGGTTTGGGTACGCGGGCGCCTACGGGATGCCGCCGCCGGGGATTGGGATGATGGGGCCACCGCCCATGATGCGGC